GGAAGGAAGGAAGGAAGGAAGGAAGGAAGGAAGGAAGGAAGGAAGGAAGGAAAAGAAAGAAAAAGGCATTATATGTGTCAATGAATCCCTATGTGAATAGTACATTTAGGGATTAGTTGAAATGTATGAATTGACCAGGGATGCCTAAATATGTATCTATACTCCAAATATGTCCAACTAGTTTACAGCACCTAACTGATCCTGACTGATTTCAAAAAGCTAAGACAGGTCTGGTTAGGACTTGGTTGAAAAATCACCAGGAAATCCTCAACCTATAGATTTGACTGGGAAGGTGAAATGTGCAGTATATTCTCAAAGAACGTAATGTCAAATCATTTCCATACTGTTATGAAGAAAAGTCCATGGTCACGTCCTTAAAGTTGCCAGAAGTCAAAGTTGAGTCAAAGGGGATTTTACTTTAATTTTTTATCACAGATTTCCCTGTTATTAAAAAACAAGCAACCCTTCTTCACTCTTATCACTGTGTTGTTAAAATTTGTTGTGATTATTGCTGTTGCATAATTTTATGAAATCATACTTTTGGAAGTCATATCGGTTATATATAATGATTACCTTGGTTTTCAGTAGCTCAGAATTCACCTACAATTATATGCTAATAATTTCAAACAACGTTTGAAGGATGTTTTTCCAAGATGGGCAATTCTGAATGCTTAGCAAAGAGAAACAAATTCTAATAATTCAGCCTTACATCATTTGATACACCAACTGGGTACTCATTTATCTTGGAGGAGACTCCAGTTAAGTCAATAGAGCTTTCTTCGGAATAGACATGTATAAGATTGTGTTTTATTTGATTAAAAGTAATTAAATAGACTTCCAATATTTGGTACCTCATAGATCAAAGCTGCTAACAACATGTTTAATGTTCAGAGTTGTTCTTGGAGCATGTTTATGTATGAACATCAAGTTTATCTTCTGCACAATTTATATTTCTATCTTATAAATAACAAGTCTATTATATTTTGATATTGATTCAACTTCAAATGACTACTTTTCTCACTGAGATAGTTCACTCAGTACATAGCTTACATTTTTGGATAAATATTATATATTGTGCATTTTTGATGTGATATAGTAATTAATGGAGTGGGCAAGGAGTTAATCCATATATTTTAGAAAGCATTTTGTGAAAAGAGTATTGTTGTTCATAAGTTCACCCATCCTTCTATCACATTAGAGTAGTGCTGCTAGGATTCTTATTTTAAAAACCTGGAAATCTTGTTTGCCAAAAAGAAACAACACATGAAAATGAATGTCTGTGTGTGTGACTTTGCCTTGAGGACAATAATTTCTTTATCATAGCCCTTGCAGTTCTCTTTAAAAAAAATAGCTTGCCTTCAGAATGTTGGTTTTGTGGAGATACCCCAAATTATTTGTTCAAAAAGAATATACATTTGTTTCTATAACACTAATTAGATAACAGACAGAACGCTTGCTTTGCCTTTTGATCTCTTGTCATTTGTGATTTTTGCTGTTGTGCTAAATAATCTTGAATATTTGACATGAGAGTACTGTATTACTGCATTTATTTGTGTAGAACACGCACAGGCATGTAACATGCACCTTAATTTTAAGAGGGAAGTTTGAGTAAAAAAACTTAAATTTAAAATAAATGACTTG